AAAAAAAAAAAAAAATATTTTAAACAGCAGGGTAACATTAATGGTAGAGATGCACATTAGTGGACTGAGCATGGTGAAAGGACCAGAGAACAGATCCATGCTAACCTCCAACTGTAGGTTGAAAACTTAAGCATCTCTAAGGCTCAACTACCATATCCCTAAAACAAAACAAATACTGAAAGATTTGATGCTTCTTTTCAACTATTATAAAATATGGTAAATGTAAGCATTGTGATGTAAAGAAACCATGCAGGTGAGTGAAGAAATGAAATATATTAATAAATCCTAACTTCCAGAATATTCTTCCAAGCATTCCACCAGACTGACAACATACAACTCACACCATATCCCCACGAGAAGTCGGAGCTGCCTTCGGTAGAAATCCCTGTGCCTGTATAACTTGGAAAAGCAGACCTTGAATTCCCAGTGTCAGATGATGTAAAAGGTGATTCTCGTGTGACGTCAGATTCACTAAATGCACAAGTTTGGGAGGAGGAGAGAAAACAGAAAAATCCTCATATTTCTGCAAGTTTTTGCAGCGTTAACTTATCATCAACTTACTGGATGATAACCATGTATACAAATATATCCACAAAGGCAAAAATAAAAGAACTTAAAAGTCAAGCATCACAATAAAGTCCTACCTAACTAATTCCTATAGAATTGGTGGCAGCTAGTCCAAATAATTCCAGTCAGAGTTTGCAATGAATACTTTAACCTCCCACCTATAACATACTCTTGACAACTAAAGACATTTCAGAATATCGATAGTAATGTCTGAACTTGTATGGTACTTTTACATTCTACTAACCATTTTTACAGATTTATCTTTATAACACCTAGTGATGTAGAATACAATTAACTCCATATAAAAAACAAGCAATCGGAGGTTTAATTACAGGTTTTAAAACATGTTTTATGATTATATAATTTTTCTATACTAACACATTGCTTCTCAGAATTCTCTTTGATGTTCTGAGACTGAAAAACAGTACTCTCTGTTCTATTTTTTAAAATAATAACTGCATATTGATTATAGACTAAGCATTATGCCAAGTTTCACATACTTTATATCATTAATATTCAGAACACCCTATAAGAGATATTATTATCAAGTAAATAACTTGCCCAGTGTTACTCAACTAATAAGTGCAGGACCAGGTTTAAAAATCAGATGTCAAACTCCTCCTAAGTCTCTGTTCTTAACTACTTCATAATACTAATTCTCAGAGGTTATGATAATAAGTACTATGTTGTTGCCATCAGCTGTTTCAGCATGAAAACTGAATGGTGCTGAAAAGTGATTAAAAATTCTTGTTTTGTTTCATTAGCACAATGCTTAATACCAATGCTAAGCCAAAAAGCCAAAACAAAACTTCTGCCATTAGCAAGTGCAATAAGCAAGTAAGAACAGTTTGTGTTATTACCTTTGAGAACTTGTGTCTTTTTCATGGTTGTCACTGGTATAGGAAATTTCATCCAGTTGCTCTGGAGGGGGATGATTAAGAGCATGTTTTGTTATTCTTTTCCTGTAACAGATAAAGAGTTATATTTTCTACAAAGAAAATATATACCTTTCAAAGACAAACTATAGAAATTAGTCACCTACTTCCTGCTGCTCTGGAACTGCACTGTTGTGCCAGCCACTAGCAGTTAAACTGTGGCTAGTGGCTGGTATGGTGGCTCATGCTAGTAAACCCAGCAGTCTGGGAGACCAAAGAGGAAGGACTGCTTGAGGCCAAGAGTTGGAAACCAGCCTGGGAACACTGTGAGACTCCATCTCTAAAGTATGAAAAATAATTAGCCAGGCTCACTGGGGCAAACCTATAGTCCCAGCTTCTCAGGATTAGGATAGGAGGATTGCTTGAGCCCAGGAGTTCGAGGTTACTGTGATGGTGCCACTGCATTCCAGACTAGGCAACATCGTGAAATCCTGCCTCAAAAATAAAATAAAACAGGCCACATGTGGTGGCTCATGCCTATAATCCTAGAACTCTGGGAGGCCAAGGTGTGTGGACTGCTTGAGCTCAGGAGTTTGAGACCAGCCTGACCAAGAGTGAGACCCCATCTCTACTAAAAATAGAAAAATATAGTAGCCTATAGTTCCAGCTACTCAGGAGGCTGAGGCAAGAGGATTGCTCAAGTCCAAGAATTTGAGGTTGCTGTGAGCTATAATGTACAGCACTCTATCCAGGGCGACAAACTGAGACTCTATCTCAAAACTGGATAAATAAATAAATAGAAAGATAAATCAACTATCTACATTACAAAACAAACAAAGAAACCGTGGCTAGTTGGAATTGATTATGTGTTAAGTGTAAAACACAGAATTTCAAAGTCTTAGTACAAGAATGTATAATATCTCAATAATTATATTATCTTGACTACATACTATAATGATAACATTTTAGATATATTGGGTTAAACAAATATATTCTTAAAATTTATTTCACTGCAAATTGAAAACATAGTAAGATATAACCACACACCTATTACAATAGCTAAAATAAGAAACAGTGCTGGGCTGTGCCTGTTCCTCAGTGGGTAGGGCACCAGCCCCATATACCAAGGGTAGTGGGTTCAAACCCAGCCCTGGCCAAACTGCAACAAAAAAATAGCTGGGCATTGTGGCTGGCGCCTGTAGTCCCAGCTACTTGGGAGGCTGAGGCAAGAGAACCGCCTAAGCCCAGGAGTTGGAGGTTGCTGTGAGCTGTGTGAGGCACTCTACCAAGGGCAATAAAGTGAGACACTGTCTCTACAAAAAAAAAAAAAAAGAAAGAAAGAAACAGTGCCAACACCAAATGCAGAAAAGGATGTGAAGAAACTGGAAGTCTCACATACATTGCTGGTAGGAATGGCAAATGGTACAGCCATTTTTGGAATAGTTTTACAATTTCTAATAAAACTAAACACATGCATTTACACAAGACCTAGCAGTTACACTCTTGGGCACTGAACCTAAAGAAATGGAAACTTATGTCCACACAAAAATCTATACATAAATGTTCATAGCAGCTTTATTTATCATTTAAAAAAACCTGAAAACTCAAATGTCCAGTGTGTGAAACTAAACTCTCATCTATCCACACAATGGAATATTATTCAGCAATAAAAAAAAATTGAACTGTTGGGCAGCACCTGTGGCTCAGGGAGTAGGGCGCCAGCCCCATATACCAAGGGTGGCAGATTCAAACCCGGCCCCGGCCAAACCACAAGAGAAAAATAGCTGGGCGTTGTGGTGGGCACCTGCAGTCCCAGCTACTCGGGAGGCTGAGGCAAGAGAATTGCCTAAGTCCAAGAGCTGGAGGTTGCTGTGAGCTGGGACACCACAGCACTCTACCAAGGACGACAAAGTGAGACTCCGTCTCTAAAAAAACAAACAAATAAAAATTGTACATGCAACAACTTGGATAAATCTCAAGAGCATCGTGCTCAGAAAAAAAAAAGCCAAAGCCAATCAAAAAAGCTTATGTACTGGCTCGGCGCCTGTGGCTCAAGCGGCTAAGGCGCCAGCCACATGCACCTAAGGTGGCGGGTTCAAATCCCCAGCCCAGGCCCGCCAAACAACAGTGATGGCTGCAACCAAAAAATGGCCAGGCATTGTGGCGGGTGCCTGTGGTCCAAGCTACTTGGGAGGCTGAGGCAGGAGACTCGCTTGAGCCCAGGAGTTGGAGGTTGCTGTGAGCTGTGATGCCATGGCACTCTACCCAGGGGGATA